TGCCTTGACAACATACACTATAGCTAGGCCCTCTCAGTGCCTTGACAACATACACTCTATCTAGGCCCTCTCATTGCCTTGACAACATACACTCTAGCTAGGCCCTCTCAGTAACTTGACAACATACACTCTAGGCCCTCTCAGTAACTTGAAAACATATACTCTATCTAGGCCCTCTCAGTGCCTTGACAACATACACTCTATCTAGGCCCTCTCAGTGCCTTGACAACATACACTCTAGCTAGGCCCTCTCAGTAACTTGACAACATACACTCTATCTAGGCCCTCTCAGTAACTTGACAACATACACTCTAGCTAGGCCCTCTCAGTAACTTGACAACATACACTCTATCTAGGCCCTCTCAGTAACTTGACAACATACACTCTATATAGGCCCTCTCAGTAACTTGACAATATACACTCTAGCTAGGCCCTCTCAGTGCTTTGACAACATACACTCTAGCTAGGCCTTCTCAGTGCCTTGACAACATACACTCTAGCTAGGCCCTCTCAGTGCCTTGACAACATACACTCTAGCTAGGCCCTTCCAGTGCCTTGACAACATACACTTTAGCTAGGCCCTCTCAGTGCCTTGACAACATACACTCTAGCTAGGCCCTCTCAGTGCTTTGACAACATACACTCTAGCTAGGCCCTCCCAGTGCCTTAAAAAGGGATCGTCCACCCAGATATTACTTAGTTTTGCATCTTTTGACACGGAGAGCATGGGAGAGATAATCGTTAAATAATCCATATGTTACTTGACCTTCTTCTTCTTCTTTATTTTGAGGACCCACGCTCAATGTATTGATCATTCTGGCTCCTATATTTGTAGAAGGGTTCAGGTTGCAACTTTGCATGGTTTTGAAGAGGCTACTCTACTGGTTACTAGTCATTGATGGTATTAATTAAAGGGGGGGGGGTCGGAAGGGAGGAGGCAATAGACGCAAATGTGTCAAGTGTAGTCGCCTCAACTGTCGCTTTATGAAGCTTATTCAAGTTCCTTAAAGTCTTTGACAGGAATGAGGAGCTCCTGGACTAAGTTCTTGTTGCTATGAGACGGAGCTGCCTGTCATGGCCTCGTCGCTGTTTAGAGGGGGGGGGGGGCGGGTTTCTGTTTAATGCTGGAACACTGGACCAGCCCATTTTTACTTGTACATCACACAGAGCCATCGGGTGCGTTGGGAAACCCTACGGGGGACGGGGGGGGGGGGGGGGTAGTTTATTTCTTTATATTCAGGGGCGGCATTTTCGGCAATCTAAAGAGTATTTTTTCGTGGAATGGGGCGGTAAAATCTTAGTCCTAAAATCTTAGCCCGCACCGGGTGGGACTAACCTTAGCTACGCCACTGGATGGAGAATGGGGAATGGACACACAATTCCATCCTTGCCAAGCCATATTATCAGAACGTTTAACATTTTAAAACACTATCTAGAATCGAGATCATTGTTGTCAACATTTCCCAAAGGAAGAGCTTTTGTTTGATGAAGACATCATGCCCCCATGCGGGCCTTCCTATAAGAAAAAGGTTTTGACCACCGTGTTGCCCACAGTCTTCCCCACCGCAGATGTCTATATTGCTTGGGTCAACATGACATTGCCGTATACCGGAAGTGTAGGTGATTTCGGAATTCCTGGTGGTCTTAAATTTTTACAAGAAATCACTTTTTCTAGATCCCANGAACCCCTAAGGCTTAAAGTTAAGTTATTGAAAATTTTAATTTTTATATTTTTAAATTGGTTGCAAATTGTGGGGGTAGTAATAAGGTGGGGGGACAAAACCAAAGAGTGGCAGTTGCCACATTGACAACCCACCTCCACAGATGGCTCCCTGAAAGAAACACAGTTATCAATGATATCATCTTTAAAAATATAATTTTTATGAATGTGTTTTTTACTAAAACTTTCCATCAGCTGCTGTGTGGGTGCATCCATAAGACTGAATGTCAATTTAAACAACAATAATGTTTCAAATAACTTAAAGTGTCAACTGTTAAAATTATTAATGCATATTTTTTATTTACAATTTCACAACAAATGAATATCCTCAACCCCCCCCCCCCCCCCCACACTGTTTAGCCCTCTCGGCAAAGAGAGTTTGATTTCTCACAAATAAATGAAAATTCAGATTCACAGAAATGGTCGTCCAAGGCCTGGCCACATCCCATTACGCAGTCTTGTCGACCCATGTGGTCATCAGGGCTGTTAGGATAAAACAACATCTGCAACGTCAGTGGGTCAATAGGCTGATGGTCATCTGACCACACAAACTGACCCTCAGCGTCACGGTCGTCCAACCCAAGCCAAGTGCATGTCACGGAGAGGTTAGAGAAGAGGGCGCTTTTCTCCCGTGTTTTGGCAACGTAAAGATGTGAGTCCAGACACTGACACGTCACAGCAGCTTGTGCATAGTTGACAGGGGCGGGAAAATGGACAGCAAAGCTGGTCGTCATGTTGTAGGAAAGTGTGCTGAAATGATTGATATTAATTTAGGAATGTGTGCTGTAATGATTGATATTAATGTAGGAACGTGTGCTGAAATGATTGATATTAATGTAGGAGAGTGTGGTGAAATGATTGATATTAATTTAGGAACGTGTGCTGAAATGATTGATATTAATGTAGGAACGTGTGCTGAAATGATTGATATTAATGTAGGAGAGTGTGGTGAAATGATTGATATTAATGTAGGAGAGTGTGCTGAAATGATTGATATTAATGTAGAAACGTGTGCTGAAATGATTGATATTAATGTAGGAGAGTGTGCTGAAATGATTGATATTAATGTAGGAACGTGTGCTGAAATGATTGATATTAATGTAGGAGAGTGTGGTGAAATGATTGATATTAATGTAGGAGAGTGTGCTGAAATGATTGATATTAATGTAGGAACGTGTGCTGAAATGATTGATATTAATGTAGGAACGTGTGCTGAAATGATTGATATTAATGTAAGAACGTGTGCTGAAATGATTGATATTAATGTAGTAAAGTGTGCTGAAATGATTGATATTAATGTAGGAACGTGTGCTGAAATGATTGATATTAATGTAAGAACGTGTGCTGAAATGATTGATATTAATGTAGTAAAGTGTGCTGAAATGATTGATATTAATGTAGGAACGTGTGCTGAAATGATTGATATTAATGTAAGAACGTGTGCTGAAATGATTGATATTAATGTAAGAACGTGTGCTGAAATGATTGATATTAATGTAAGAACGTGTGCTGAAATGATTGATATTAATGTAGTAAAGTGTGCTGAAATGATTGATATTAATGTAAGAACGTGTGCTGAAATGATTGATATTAATGTAGGAGAGTGTGGTGAAATGATTGATATTAATGTAGGAGAGTGTGCTGAAATGATTGATATTAATGTAGGAACGTGTGCTGAAATGATTGATATTAATGTAGTAAAGTGTGCTGAAATGATTGATATTAATGTAGGAGAGTGTGCTGAAATGATTGATATTAATGTAGGAACGTGTGCTGAAATGATTGATATTAATGTAGTGAAGTGTGCTGAAATGATTGATATTAATGTAGGAAAGTGTGCTGAAATGATAGATATTAATGTAGGAAAGTGTGCTGAAATGATTGATATTAATGTAGGAGAGTGTGGTGAAATGATTGATATTAATGTAGGAACGTGTGCTGAAATGATTGATATTAATGTAGGAGAGTGTGGTGAAATGATTGATATTAATGTAGGAACGTGTGCTGAAATGATTGATATTAATGTAGGAAAAACATCGACTTAAAAAAGAAAGGCTGAATAAAATTGAGAATCTAACCCATTAGAATGAGTTTCAAGACATTAGAATTTGTTTCAAGACTTTAGAATGAGTTTCAAGACAGTAGAATGAGTTTCAAGACATTAGAATTTGTTTCAAGACTTTAGAATGAGTTTCAAGACAGTAGAATGAGTTTCAAGACATTAGAATTTGTTTCAAGACTTTAGAATGAGTTTCAAGACAGTAGAATAGGTTTCAATACAGTAGAATGAGTTTCAAGACAGCATAATGAGTTTAAAGACAGTAGAATGAGTTTCAAGACAGCATAATGAGTTTAAAGACAGTAGAATGAGTTTCAAGACAGTAGAATAGGTTTCAATACAGTAGAATGAGTTTCAAGACAGTAGAATGAGTTTCAAGACAGTAGAATGAGTTTCAAGACAGCATAATGAGTTTAAAGACAGTAGAATGAGTTTCAAGACAGCATAATGAGTTTAAAGACAGTAGAATGAGTTTCAAGACAGCATAATGAGTTTAAAGACAGTAGAATGAGTTTCAAGACAGCATAATGAGTTTAAAGACAGTAGAATGAGTTTAAAGACAGTAGAATAGGTTTCAATACATTAGAATGAGTTTCAAGACAGCATAATGAGTTTAAAGACAGTAGAATGAGTTTCAAGACAGCATAATGAGTTTAAAGACAGTAGAATGAGTTTCAAGACAGTAGAATAGGTTTCAATACAGTAGAATGAGTTTCAAGACAGTAGAATGAGTTTCAAGACAGTGGAATGAATCTCAGGACATGAGAATGGGAGTTTAAAACATGAGTATGGGAGTTCAAAATATGAGAATGAAAGTTAAAAAATATGAGATTATATGAGATATCTTGTAATCAAAATATCATTTTCGAATTATCATCAATCTGTTTTATTTTTTAAGCTGAAAAACGTTTAAAATTAAGCACATTTAAAATAGGTGACTTTCCAATTTAAAATTGTAAGTATCTTTGGTCGTCATCTATCGGTCTGTATAACTTCAAAAACTGATTTCTAAAAATGTATCCATACAGAACTTGCGCTCTTCAACAAAGTCCTTACTGAGAGGTCCCAGTGTCAAAGAAAACAGAAGTCATACGGAGTGCGCTCTTTTGAAGCTATTGCGCCTAAATTGTGGGGCATTTAGACTCAATCTTTAAATTATACAAAATTATTTAAGAACCATTTAAACCCATTTTTCTTTGAATAGATTTTAGAACATCAGAGCGCTGTGAACATGCTAAAATAACAAGGACACATAACCCGCTATAATAGGACTCAATCATCATCATTTAGTTTTCTAAACATTCTTCTGTCGTTATCTACGTTTCTAAACATTTCTCTTTCGTCATCTACATTTCTAAACATTCTTCTGTCGTTATCTACGTTTCTAAACATTCCTCTTTCGTCATCTACATTTCTAAACATTCTTCTGTCGTTATCTACATTTCTAAACATTCCTCGGTCTTCATCTAGCTTTATAAACATTGTTCTGTCGTCATCTAACTTTCTCAATCTTCTTCTCTCTTTGACTACATTTCTAAACATTCTAATTCCTTGGCATGGTAACTAGCACTTAATTCATTTCTGATCGACCAAATTATAATTGTAAACAAGATCCTGTGATTTTGTGCCTCTCAAAAGGGAACGATCATTTTTAATTGAATTGAATTTGTTTTTAAAATGTCATTTTCTAGAAAGTTGATGGGAACAGTGAACCCCAATTGTACCTGAATTCTGGGTAACTGTCACAGCTGTCAGTCACAAAGAGGTCCCCCTCTTTAGCACTAGGCGGCAGCTGGGACGTACTCACACCAGATCCTGGTGTACATAGTTTTGTGATTTTATTGTACATGAAACTATGGCATGTCTTTGGGTACCTGTAGGGATGTGATGTTATAGTACATAAAATTATAAAATTACTTTGGCTATCTGTGGAGATGTGATATTTACTGGTAACTACGATATGGCATTGGGTACCTTGACGTTTCATTGGTCGCCTGTGCAATTGTGCCATAAAACTATGACATATATTTGACTACCTTTGAAGATATGACATATAACTGTGACATGACTTCATGGGCGCCCACAGAAAATTTTCTAGGGGGAGGGGGGCAAAAAATCGATTAACTTTCCAGGGGGGGGGCAAAATTATTTTAGTAATCTTTTAATGTAGTTTTAATTTACTGTAGCGTATTTGTATGGTGAACGAACGGACAGGACATCAGCTTAGTTATTTTCTCTTTATTTTCTCTTTACTTTAATAAATTTTTTGTCTATTTTTGTCTACATTTTTTTTGTCCAATCAATCCAGGGGGAGGCAAGTGCCCCACCTTGCCCCTACCTGCGGGCGCCCATGCATGACTTTGGCTACCGGTAGCTATATTCAAAATGAAAATATCCCCAGACTTAAAATTAATCATTAGACAGCTAAGTTAAATTTATGTAATAATTTATTTTTTGTTGCATCAATCAGACAAATGTGCAAATGTTCGCTGAGTTGAACGTGTCCGTCAAGTTCTTTCACACGTTGAATATGTCGTACTATTCTTACTATGACTAAATAAACACAAGTCCTTTTTCATAATAATTATAACTTTAATATCTAAATATATACTATCAACATAAACATATGGATGTAGCGCAGCTCGCTATCAGACCTAAATAATACACATCCTACGTCTACAAAGTTCCACTCAAGAATGCCGCACGACTTAAACTTACGTCATAATACTGTCTAGACAATACGTCATAATACTGTCTAGACAATACGTCACGAATCAGCATAAAATTACGTCACAGAGTCAAGCGCTGGACGAGCGTTCACTAACTAATTAAAATTCTCAAACACACACTGCGGGAAACGAACATAATATTCAGTCGCAGCAATTATCAATGAACTCCCATACTTAACACCCTCCCTCCCTTCTATTTTCCCTTCCCCCCTCTCTTTACCTCCATATCCCTCTCTCTCTCTACGCACCTGATGAACCCAAGGAAACACCAATTGCAGATCCTACAGCTCGTCACCAGGAGCGGCGCAGGAGATGTAGGAATTTTCCTTTTGTTTATATTACGCAGTGTAAGGGACTTAATATCCTTCTCTTAGATGTATTTTCATCGAAGGTTAGCGAGTCTCATCCATTCGGAAAGCTGGTATTGTCTTTGTTCCTCTACGTCTTTGACAGTTCTTAATAACACTATAATTGTATATTTGAATTGTATAATCTTAAAATTATTAGAGAGGTTATTTTGTTTGGGTTGTAATTGGCTAAATTACATTAATCTCTTAGACAGAGTACCAAGAGGATATCTCATACGAGAGATACCTCCAAAGGTTAAAATATAAGTCAGATCACCACATGGATGTAAATGGGGGTTCTGTCCGAGATTTAACAAATATATAGTTTTGAACAGATTTAGTTTGACTGAATAGTTTGGATATAAGCGATAAACTAAAACTAAGACCATCGGTGAACGCTCCTTCTGCTTCCATGGGCCCACGTTCTGGAACCAGCTCCCCTTCCATATACGTCATAGTGAAACCTCGTCCATTTTCAAAAAGTCCCTTAAAACTCATCTGTTTAGACTCATCTGTTTAGGTCCGCCTATGACCTGTGATGCACCCTCCTTGCCCTACCTCATTTTCTGTTTCGGGTTGATCCTGAAGTGTCAAAGTGTCCTCGTTTTATAGCCATTTTCATTGTTTCTATAGAGTAGTAGTTACTATCCTAGTGTCTCATTTGTATTTACTTAGTTTACATGTTTTAATAATTGTAAAGCGCTTAGAGCTTTATGATAAGCGCTATATAAAAATGCCTAAATAAATAAATAAATAAATATTCTGAAAATTTTAAATTTTAAGCCGTAAAGTGATTTTCATTAATTAAGACAATATATTTGCTCTGCTCCAGATTTATTTTCTTTCTGTATAAATACTTCCATTAATTTAATTATTAATAGTTATTGATGTTATTGATGTTAGTTATTATATTGATTTGTCTGTCCCGAAATCATTGGTTCGTCCCACGAGTGTTCTAAGAGATAATGCATATATGGAAGGGTATGCGTTAAATACACAAGTACGGTAACCCTGGAAGACCCATATGATTATTTATTGTTCACTAACGTACGACCAATATGGCAAAATGTGTAAAAGCTAAAGCTGATATATGAAATAAGGGATAATCTGTCGGATTAGCTAGTCCCAAGTTAATCCAATATATAAATACGGAATTTGAAAAGTGGAATAGTCTGAAAGGATGAGAGGCCGAGAAGGAGCGTTCCCAGGCTGAAAGAAAGGCCGAGATGGAGCGATAACAGGCTGAAAGAAAGGCCGAGAAGGAGCGATAACAGGCTGAAAGTAAGGCGAGAAGGAGCGTTCCCAGACTGAAACAAAGGCCGAGAAGGAGCGTTCCCAGACTGAAACAAAGGCCGAGAAGGAGTGTTCCCAGGCTGAAAGAAAGGCTGAGAAGGAGCGAGCAGTAGGAGAGCATGAGTTGAAGCTCAAGAAAATTGATACTCAATTGAGAATGCAGTACATGGAAGTGGAGAAGGAAAAGATAATCAGTGAGCGACCAACTGAAGCCACCACTTCAGGTTCCATTAACGAAACAACCACAATCATGTACGACACAAGGCAGGAATCGTTCACCCATCATTCTTATCCCCACTGGACTCGTTTGATAAGTATATTGACGTTTACTTAAACCGTTTTGAAAGGTTAGCCCGCAACTATGAGCTTTCGGAGGATAAGTGAAATATTAGATTTGCCCACGCCTTAAAATGGAAAGCCTATGAAACTTACTCCAAATTATCGGACGCAGAATTCTAGAGCTATCACGCAATTATTCAGCATTGTTGCTCAAATATGAACTAACCACCTCCTATTATAATACGAAACTCCGAAACGCTCGGCTCAAGACATCCGACAAGTATACTCACATTCGGAGTGATTGACCAAACAAGTATACTCACATTCGGAGTGATTGACCAAACAAGTATACTCACATTCGGAGTGATTGACCAAGAATCTGACGAAATAGTGCACACTAGGGAAGTACCCAGAATCATTCCGAGGAATGGTGGATATGATACTAGTAGAACAATTGAAAGAATTATGTCCCCAGATCTAAGGATCTAAGGACGAGCTTAGAGAGTTCAAGAAAGTAAAGGACCATCAGGAAGCAAGAGTGATCAAGTCTACGTATGTAACAGAAACAGGGCACGCCAACCCAAAAAAATTTAGGAAACATAACTCATCATTTAGATACAGAAGGAACCATGTCAATAACCCACTTTTCCCCAGCCGTCAGAAATGGTGTGATCACCATAAGATCTCATCCCATGATTCTGGGAACGTGGAGGAAAATCTAGAAAGCAACCGGCTAAGACCGCTTCTATTGGTAAAAAAACAATCTCGTCTTGCCGCCCATGCAAGAGCGAAGATGCAGATTCCTGTCAATTATCCGGAAGCTCAAGCATATCCGCCCGTCGTGGAAATTGTTTTGGTCAAAGGAACCCCAGCCCGTTGCCTAAACGACACTGCATGCTCCTACGACCCCATTGTATGACGTTCATTGGACAATTCGGCAGATGTAACAAGTGATACTATGGCTGTTCAAGGCGCCAACTTGTACATTCCTCCCATGATTCTACAGGTAGTAAAAATCAATGTGAAGGCAAGGTATGTCAATGGAATAATTAGCGCTACTGTAATAGACTCACCGATTCATGACATTATCTTGCTGTTATGTGTTTTTTGGTAGCCCAAAACACCGATCTTTGTCGCCCTTAAATGGGGACTAGGTCGAAGAAGCAACTAGGTACCGATGGTGATCATCTTAACCCAATGCCTAAGGAGATGAAAGCTGCTCAAAGAGACGACCATTTCTAAAGTTATTTACCTGAGTGGACCAAAGAGATCATCAAAATGGTAATGTTGTTTTTTTTTCATTAGATCTGGATTAGTATATCACAGTGTTGGTGATACTGACATTAATAAGAGTAAACTTTTCCTACCGAAGCAGTCCAGACAAGAAGTGATGCAAGAAGACATGCCACTTCATTGAGTGGACACCAAGGACATGGTGTAACATTCAATCGCATCCGATACTACTCTTACTGACTGGGAATGACCGCAGTTATCACAAGATATGTATCTTCCTGTCCCCAGTGTCAGGAAAGATCTGTCAGAAGCTATGTGTCACGGGTACCTCAAGATAGAAGCCCATTAATTGAAACCCTTTAAAGAGAGTATCCAATTCTTGGACCACTCACACGGACCAAGAAAAGAAATGCCTACATATTGTGTGAAGTTTGACAGTCTTCACGTTGGCCAGAAGTCGCTGTTCTGCCCAATATAGACATGAAGCATGTTTCTGAGGCTCTATTTACAATATTTACCCGCATCTTATTTCCCGAAGTGATTCTCACTGATAACTGATCTATGTTCACGGGAAATCTTATCACTGAGGTTTATCAAACGTTAACGCTAAACGCAGCACATCTTCCGTGCATCACCCATAAAACAATTGACTGGTGGAGCGGTTTAATGCCTAACTTATACGCCATGCTCAGATGCCTAATGGATGGACGGCCTGAATTGACTGGTGGAGCGGTTTAATGCCTAGCTTATACGCCATGCTCAGATGCCTAATGGATGGACGGCCTGAAGAGTGGGACACCTACTTACCTGCTGCACTATTTACTTACCGTGAAGTGCCAAAAGCGAGCATGGGTTATTCCCCTTACGAAGTTATATATAGGTCACAACCTGGAGGGCCACGTAGAATTGGTCAAAAGACAATGTGGACGGAGAAGCCAAGACGTCTTCTGATATGTTCAGGACCTAAATGAC